GGCGCGAGCTACCTGAAGGACAGTGTAAGCCGTCGTGCAAAGGGCACTATCCGGACACTGAGCAGCAAGACCGCACCTGTAGCTCAGATTCCAGTACGTCAACGCGGGCTCTAAGTACGTCCGCTACCCTTCCCGTCCTGTCGTCAAGCATGTCGGCGCCGGTATTTACTTCGCATTGACCGTCATGTCTGCTAGCTGTTCGATGCACGCATTCAAGTCTAACGCCAACACGCTGAATTCAAGCGTGCTGGCGCCCAAGGGCTCCTTTGCATCCTAAACGCAAGAAATAACCATTGTCAGCGGGTTCACAAACACGCTAAGAATAGCAGCACTCTAGCCCGCTCGCTGGTGGGTTAGGAGCCGGAGGCTAGGACCTCCCCCCCCAAAAAGGGTCGAAAAGCCTTCGCTGCAGATTCACGCCTTTAGCACTGGAGTTTGCATGCTAGCCTGTAGGTCTGATAGTATGTACAACAACCCACTAATATAGAGACTGTTCCCAGCGCAATGGGCCCCAGGTTGCAAACCGCTGCTTACCTGCAGCTCTTCCAGTTGCTCATCCTTCAGCTTCACTTCGGCCGTCAGTTCCTTGACCCTGCGGGGCTCATTAGCCAAATAACCATTGGCAAGTGAATCAGCACATCAGCACTGTCGGACACTTCACATACAAGCGAATTAGGTCCGCAAACGTATACACAGCATTACAATAGGATGTCGTACCTCGCTTCAAGCTCGCGCTTTGCCCGCTTTAGCAGTGGAAGCTGCTCCATGGCGCTATCCCGCTCGGTTCGAATCTCCTCCAGCTCCTTAACTTGCTGCATGCCAGCAAAAGGGAGGTGTTAGCACGAAGAGAGGCACAAAGTGCATGTTGCCGTAGGACAGCGAACAAGCCATGCCAACAGACCTGTGACAGCCCGCTATCCGTGTCGCTGGCGATGCTTGCAAGGTAAAGATATTTCGAATCCTTAGGGCCGCCAGGAGCTGGCCAATGACCACCATGGGAATGCTCTGCTGGAGATATAGCGCCTGATTGAAATGTGGTTGTGTAGATGATCCTCATAGGTGATCCGGGTGGCGTTCCCAGTCTTGACCCAGGAGGCAGGTGAAGCGAACCGCCAGGTGAGTGTGGCTCATGCTGTTCGTATTGCCATTGCGCAGATCCCTGTTAAAAGCATATTGGGCATTTCATGCCCACTCAGCGGTATGGTAAGTATGGCAGGTACAGAGCCACGAGCGCATGACTGCAGCTAAAAACAGAACCCTTATCGGAATAAGCATATCAGTCAAACACAATTCCAGAATAGTTGGCAAGCCCTGATTCATCCACCGTTGCACTTACATTGTTCCCCGGAAGTGCTTCCTCATCAAACAGCAGGTTGCGATGCACAGTTGTCGATGCACCGTGGCCCAGCGGCAAGCTGGTTTGCCCATCACCCATCGCAGCGGACGATGCGGAAAACCTGCCAGTTTCACTGCTTCCCATTGCCTCCCGATGAAACATGGGGTTCATGACCAGAGACGGTGTGCATGCGTCGGGACCAGCCATCCTAGCTACTCGTTGCGTTGTCGAGCTGACTGGCAGTGACACCGGTGTGGCCGCATTTGGAACTGCAATGGGTGACAGCTGCCGCAGAGGCGTTGCTGCCGAAGCAACATGCCTCTCGCGACCACTTAACGATATCCCGCGCGATGAGACGCCCTCGGACCTGAGAGCCTGCCAGCAGAAAACAAGCCGACACCATGGTTAACCCGGACGGCCGCCGAATGTAAATTCCTAGGATCACCTACTCATTCAGTCAGCAGAAAATAGACAGCACCCTAACACAAGAGTCTATTCCACTTCACACAAGTTGAAGTCGCCGATTTGCCTGCCTTAGTCCGTCCTTAGTTATTTATAAGCCTCCTACCTGCAGCTGTTCATTGAGGCGTTGTAAACTAGCCTCTTTGGCGTCGGCATCTTCCTGCATAGCGAGTAGCTGATCCTGCACGAGCATAGGACGAACAGGCGAGAACAGTTAGCATCCAAATACCCAAGCCAATACGGTCACCCATGCGTCCTTAACGGCCACACAAAACAACCCATGAACTTGCCAGGGTATATTGTATCAGTCTCGTTACGCTTTGGAGCTGAGCCCTCAGCTGGTTTAGCTGTTCAGTGCTGGATCCCAATCCACTGCCAGCCGAGAGCCTGGAGCGAAACCTTTTGAACAACGCCTGGCGCGCATCAGACGGCCGGCCATCATCGGACATTTCCGCGGACTGACTTCCGCGCACAGATGTCTGCGCGATGCTGCAATCTGTTCTGCTGACTGCGTCCAGTAAAACCTGCAAACGCATCGAGCCATATCCCAGAGCGCCATACCTCAGAACACGACGCACGAAATAAAAACGCAGCAGGGAGCATACCTGTAGCGAGCGTAACTCTGACGTGGTGCGGCCAAGACGATTCTGCAAGGAAAAGGTTAGGCGGGTTGACAGCATTCTTGCTTAACAAGGCACTGACATGAGATTAATGCCATGTAACCACAGACCTGAGAGCCCTCAAGCATATGCGCTGCCTCATCCAACTGCCGCTTCATCTCCTTGTAACGCGCATTACCCAACGATGGAGAGCTGGGGCCCCCAGCAGGGCTGGCCGGCCCAGCGCCGCTGAACGAGCTGCCATCTGCTCTGCAAGGTCCGCCTGCCTCGCCAGCCCGCTGGAAAGGCAACGGACCACCAGAACTCAGGCGGAAAGGGGGAGGGACATCACGGGCTCCTGTAGTTTTAGAGCCCCCAGCAGATCGGTTGCGGCTTCCGTCGGTCCAACCGCCACCGTCAGGTTGTCCCTCGGGTAAGTCCTCGAGGGTGATACGATGGTTGTGATCAGCGACATTTTGTACACGCGAGACACCTGGGCTGACTGCAGAAATCCCATCGATGGCCGACGTGTGGACCTACAGTGACCGCCAGGGACCGACTCGACTAACCATCTCATAAGGCAGGCACAATTCCGTTTCGCAGGTACACATCAAAGGATGGGCTACAGTACAGTATGAGCCATAAATCATAGTGAACATGAACGCAATGCACTCAAAAGACAGAAGTACTTTTCGCAAACTCGCTGCTTTTGCAGCTAACAAACCTGTTGTGCCCCGCCCAAGCGATTTTGGTCCTGCTCGTATTGACCGCCCGCCACTATGGCCAACACCGTGCGATATTCTTCGATCTGGACTCGGAGCTGCCGTATGAGGTGGTCCCGGTCGACCGGCGGGTCAGCAAGAGGCGATGCACGTCCTTGGAGCTGTAAGTCGACCTTCATGGAGACAAAAAATAAACCGGCATTCTATCTCAGCACGCTGCTACCGACATAAGAGACATATATCCAGCTGACGTGTTGGCGTCCTACATGTCCACTCCACACACCAGTGCAGAAAGCGACAAGCACTTCAACGCAAGGAGCAGCATCGCGGGGCAGAAACGCCTAACCTGCAGGCCGGTAGAGCGTCTTCGTAGTTCAGCTTCCGAGCTGGTCCCATCCGAAGATGCCTCTTCACCAAGAGGTACTTGAACTGCAGGGACCGCTTCGTGGCCATCCCCCCTTATGCTGGAGGGGAAGTCCTGCAATGCAACCGCCACAGACCATAAGTCAAAGTAGTTGTTGCTGTCTTCCACCCCTGCCGTGGGCAAAAGCAAGGCTCAGGCAGTATGCTAGCAGCCTCACACTTGGCTAAGCACATGAGGAAGCGGGAAAGGAACGGCAGCCGAAAACAGCGACGAATGGCACATTATTACCTGGTCAGGTGAAGATACGGCTGAGTGCACTCCAAGCTTTTATAGATGCTATGCACTAAGACGTGCCGATGGGCCGGTAGATACAATACACGCAGCCACATTCATGACCAGTACAGTGGACTCCGTACGGCAGCTTACCTGAGGCCGCATCTGATCAGCTAGGTTGCCGGATGTACCGCTTATGTCCAGTCCATCGAAGTCCCAGGCCTTTTGTGGTTGCAAGACTTCTGTGCCGTGCCCAAACCTTCGCTCCACGAAAGAGGCCTTACGGGACCCAACAGGGCTTGCGGTCAGAGTGTCACCTCGGTTGCACATTGCAGCAATGTCCTGCGGAATTATCAGGTAATGTTACCGTTGAAGTGGGATCCTTTAGGTGATGCTTAGCACGGTCGATATGAAAGCAAACCTAGGTGCCAAATTATATAAATACTTTACAACCTCCTCGCAAAAGAATGTGCATCAAAGCAGGCCAACGGAATATTTGCCATGCTAATGTTATCAAGCTAAGCCGTAAGTGATGAACGGGCAATATCGTTCAATGCGTCATTCATCGCAACGTCTATCCACACCTGTGACTGCTCCAGCAATCGCTGCTCAAGCAGCTTAATGTGCTGTTGCCGGTGTGACAATTGAGATCGAAGAGACAATACCTCACGTTCCGCTGCAATCAATGCAACCTGTAGGCGAAGGGAAAGGAAAGCGCAGTTATCATGCACAACCGCACGCCTATTACGAAAGGTTTTACTTAACTTTCTCATCAAAACAAACCCTCATCGATGAAACCCTTAGGGCGGATACTATGACAGCGCGGCGTCTTGGGTCTCACTAGTTGCACACTGCAGCCTTCGATTGAGGCTCCACCCCGTATTAGAGGCGTGCCTCCTTTGGCAGTAAGGGAGCTCTCACAAATCCTAACCAATCAGACGCTAACGAACAGATACCGGCATCCGGACCATACAGGCGATGGCCCAAACGCGGCTTAGGCCGTGTGTACCTGCACAGTTGATAGGCCTCCCGTGGCTGCTGGTGTCTGCAGCGCCTGGGAACGTGCCGCAAGTAGGGAAGAGAAAGCCGGCATGGCCGCACGGCTGACAGCGTGCCCACCACGGTACCGCTGTTCGTGCGGCAGGAGCAGATGAGGCTCGTGCAGTGGACCGTCAGGTGGTGGTCCCGAGCGAGCTTTGACACGCTGGTCGACCATCAAGGAAGCATAGCGCGCAGCACGCAGCTCTCCATCCTTAGCCTACAAAGGACACCGATTAGAAGCCGTCATGAGAACGTGGAATACCTCCACACATAGCAACATGCATGTGTCGCTTCTGCAAGGACATGCTAACTATACGACCTCAAAAGCACAGTGACTGCATCAAATAATTGTTTGAAGCAATGTCACCTTCAACTGACTACGGAGCGCGCAAATTAAGTTCTTCAGCTTCTCAATAGCTCCCTCGACATCTCCATCGAAGGACTCGACGGATGGAACCTCCTGCATGGGGACAACGGGTTTGGCGGACTTAGCGCTTGCTTCATGTTGACAGGGTACGTGCCGTACAATTAACGGGCCATGGGACCAACTGTAGTCCTTTACTCGATGCAAGCAAATGTCAGCGTTAAGTAGCCGCCTGGGACTGGACGGGATAAAACACAAGGGCTTCCGCTGAAAATTCGCTATTAAGACCCAAACAATTTACAGTCGGACTATCAAAGGGGGATATTGTATAACACAAGCAAACAAGTCCATATGAAGACGTATTTGCATCGACTTTGGCTGAAACCGTCCACGTCGTCTTACTAACCCCTCTTACATCGTCTTGTCTAACGCGAGAACCCCGCGTTACATAGCCCATGCAATCACTCTACACGTTGGGCATGTCATCAGGGCCATTGGGCCAATACTAAATGCCAATCACCGCATTCACGTTTTAGGAACACCGTTCGCCTACAGAGGCTATGTACGGATTTGACGAATGCTACTAATAAAATAATCGCGAAATCTGCGCAACCTTTAAGACCCGCCACAGCAGCAAAAGCATATCCTGCTTTCAAGTATTTAGACCCCACAAAGTACACACCATGGAGTATTACTTAGGGCTACAAAATTGCAATGTGTCTCGGTGCAATGCCTTATACACACGACGCCGCTGGCTTGCTAAGAAGGCCTGCACTAAGCACCTCGCACCGCACTACAACATCTTCAAACATGGTGATCTGCTCAGAGAGCTGCACGAGCATATGCTCCAGTGCTGCCACCTGACCATCACGGTGCAGCAGCCGCGACTGCGCTGCCTGTAACGCTGCCTGCAGCTCCGACAGCTGGCCTTCCACACTGCGGGCATACGCTTCTTTTCTGCTTAGTAGGGACTCAAACGCGTGCTGAGGCCCCGGTATGGCCTTCTGTTGCTCGCGGGTTAAATCATTTTCCTTAGAGCACAATTGCTTATGTAATTGAACATTCCAGCGCCATAGCTGGGAATTGATATCTTCAGCGTCCGAGCGCAGCATTTCATAAACTTTGCACGTGTCATGATACACGTCGTGTGCCCGGGCTATTTCAGCATGCACAAAACCAGTAGCAAGAGCCCCGTCCTGCGCATTCTTAGCTATCTGCTCATCTCCGGAAGCTGTGGCAGCAGTGCCCTCAGCACCTGACGCCACAGGCAGCTTCTGCTGATGTTGCTGCTGTAAAATCCGCGCCAAGTTTGAGGTTCTGTCCTGCGCTGCAATGGCGGCTTCCCAAGCAGACCATAGAGCGCCCCGACTAGCGGGGCACTGCATCACTGCATCGGTGTCCATAACGTCGCTGAGTGCCCGCCTAACTGTTCGAAGTTCCCTATACAGCTGCCGAACTTGTTGTACAGGGATAAACGCGTCCGTGCCAAGCAGGTCGGGTGCGTCTATCACCAAAAGCATATCCGTGGGTTTTGAGGGGGTAAAGGTCCCATGACTAATGGCCGCATCCACACCAGTGGGCGGACAAGCAAAACGCGTATCGTCAGCTCGGCCTGGCTGTTTGGGCCTTGATGATGCTGCACCCGTGCTCCGCATGGCACCAGAGCGTTCAAGTCGAAGCTGATCACGCTGGAGCTCAGCCAAGGAAGCACGCATCACAGCACATGCAAGCTCATCTGCAGCAGCCTCCAGCTGTGCCTGCAATGTGCGGTACTTGCCCTGGAGCTGGTCCAGTTCGCCTTGCAATGAAACCGTCTCAATCATGAGATTAGTCTTCTCCACGTCATCTTTATACAGCGGCTGTCGAACCGCATGGTCGCTGGGAACATCTGCCTTCTGCAGCAAATGCAAATTTTCAAACTGAGCTTCTGCCAAGGCAGCCTGCATGGCCACTTCCGCAAGCTGGTCGGCAGCCATTGTGATTACTGAGCCAACTTGCGCCTCGCCCATGCCTCGAGATGGAGAAGCCATAGTAGCGCCGCCAGGCCCGTGCCCAAGAGCATCTGTGGTAGCATGCACGTCTCTAGTCCTGTGCCACGAAGGCGCCGTCGCAGCATCAAGCCGCCAGCCGGCGCTGGAGCTAGCGCGGTCGTTCTTAGCTACTTTCATCGCTGCAAGGTCCGCCTCAGCCACCGCCAACTTTGACGATGTTTCCTTCAGCTCTGCCTGGAGCGACCGAATCTCCTCCGTCATCCACGTCTTCGTGCTCAACAAGCTTTGAAGACTTTGTTCCTCCAGTTCTTTATCACTCTGCAGCTGCTGAAGTTGTCCTTGTAGATCAGAGATTAGCGACGCACGCAGCTGCAGCTCTTTCTCGCAAGCCCCAAGCTTGTGCCGCAGCTGCTCTGCTGCCGCCCGCTCGCTACTGACCTCCTCCTGGGACGTCTCCAATGCCGCACATGCCACCTTGTGTTCTGCAAGCTTCTCCGCAACCTTCTCACGGAGCTCAGATAACTGCTTTTCCCGGAGCTCCGCCATCATCTCCTGCAAAGCGATCAGGTCCGCGTCTGCAAGTTTGCGTTCAGCGGTGCGCAACTCCTCCAGTCGCCGTACGACAAGGCGCAGCTCTGCAAGTTGCTCTTCGTATACAACAAGCGGACACTTTTCATCTGGGTGTCCGCTGGTTGGCTGCGCCGTTTCAGCCACCGCGTCCGCCTGCAGCTGGAGGCAGCGCTCAGAGTGCCTCGCTTGCTGATCCATGAGGTCAGCAGCATGCTGTTCGCGCAACTCAATTATGCAAGCTTCATGCTGCGTGCATTGAAGCTGTAGATGGTCGAGTAGCTTCTGCCGGGCGGCCCACTCGTGATTGGTAAGGTCGCCCACAGCCTGGTTGCTCCATGCTTGTTGCCGACATGATTCCCATTCTTGAGGTGCATGGTCGTTCTTCAGTCGCTGCAAACTCTCCTTCGACCTAGGGGCAAGCTGCTGGCTGTGTTCCTCAATTTCCAGCATCATAACGTCAAGAGATGCCGTGTGTTGCAGCATTCCAGCTCCGAAATGACCACCAAGGAGGCCGTCTTCCGACACGCAAGTGGATTTGTCCAAACTCCGCACAGCGGCATGTTGAGAGACAGGCGTCGGCGACATGTCTGCAGACATGGACAATAACGCCTGCAGCTGACTGACTTCCACAGAATGTTTTCCACGGAGCTTCGCCAACTCAACGTCGTGTGCAGCCCGCAGGGCTGCAAGGCTCTGTTCGGATTCTGCTTGAAGTTCAGTGCAGGCTACAGCCTTGGAGATCAGCACACTGCACAATGCTGCCTGCAGCTGATCCACCTCTGCCATTAAGCTCTGTACGTCAGAACCAGCTCGCGAAGTGCGGTATGAGCGCCTTGGCCCGCGACTGCCTTCCCGCAGAAGCCCACCGTCGCCAGAAGACAAGAGAGATCTGGTAGCAGCTGCTGGAAGCAAGCCCTCGAGCGGCTCCGTAGGATGCAGCGGATAAGTATGCGGCTGACTGTCTTCTGTGTAGCGCCGGGTGGGCGCTAGTGGCGCTTCGGATGCGAAGGAAGCGTAGCTGGATTGCAAAGCAGTAGATGACCGTGTGTAGACACGCGACACCTCGTGAAATGGCTCACACTGTCCAGAAAAGACATCCTCCGCTTCGTCCACACTCTGGCTGTCCGACGCAATGCTACTGTAAGAGCGCCGGCTACGGGTCTGGCCTGGCGACGGTCTGGACAATGGCGAGTGTGGTGATGCGACTAGAGGAACATCTGGGTACTGGCCGACAGCCAGATCTGCTGCGCCACTGCAAGCTGCGGAAGACGCCGTAGTCTGCAGCCTCGCCAAGCGTGCTGGTTTTCTGTACTGAAGCTGCTTACTAGCAACGGGACGCACGGCCATCAAGCGCTCTAGCAGCCTCTGCGCGCCGCCCCGCTCCTCTGCGCCCTGTCGCAACAAGTCCCGCAATGCCTCCACCTCCAAGGATTCTGAGCGTCTAAGGGCTGCATCTCGTGCTGCAATGGCTGTGAAGGAAGACTCTGAACCCACGATGCTTGCTGGGGCTGCAACTCTAAAAGGACGAGACGGCGATGATGGCGCGGTTGATGATGCATCTGTCGCAACTACCACTGCCACGGCTGCTCCAGCTGCGCCAGCGGCTGCTGCCATGCCCAGTTGCCTAGTGCGGTCACGGAGCAGCCCTTCTTTCTCTGTCTCCAAGCTAGTGACGCGCGATTCTAGCTCTAGGGCCCTGTTGCGTAGATGATCACGTTCCGCAGCGAGGGTTGCCATCCGCTGTGATAGGTCTTCACGACTGCGTTGCATGTGGTTGCGTGCAGCACCCTGCCCCTCATCCGGCGCCTCCGGTACTTGCGTAAGAGCAGACATATCGGCCTGCTCGGCGCCTTGGTGCCGCAACCGAGTCTTTCGTGCAACTCCTTGAAGGAGCGCTTGAGCTGGCCCTTCACCAGATGCCGTAGCCACAAGTGCGCACAGTTGCTGATATGTCGACGCGCCCTGCTGCCTCGGGAACGCGCCAGACTCCGCACTGTTCCGGCCATCATCAAACGTGTCCGGGCGCCGCGCCGTGGTGCCGTCGTAGCTCCGGCTCGCGTGCAGCTGCTCCAGAGAAGGAGGAGGATGTACAATCCGTCATGAAAGCCGTCCATCCGAAAAGAAGGATGGCCATGCAGGAATGGACAAGGGCGGCCTCTGCGCAAAACCTTCAGATATCACGTTGCCAAGGGTTGCCGCTGGCACGTTGGTTGCGTCCATATGAAAGGAAACCGACAAAGCGCATGCGTTGCGTAGACAATTACCAGGAAACGGGCCCCAAGACACGGCCAACAATGGAATTGTTGAACGCAAGCTGCCACCGGCCTTGCTCAACTTGGTGGTAGTAATAGTGATCAGCGTTAAGGTCCAAAGATAGGCATACGGATAACAAGAGGCCTGTCTGGTGGGTCGCTGCGCGTAGCATTGACTGTCTGATGCATTCATGTGCTTGAAGCACAAAACAAAGATGCAAACTGATTCTGTAACGCGCCCTGCGCTCGCACTACGTGGAAGGATTCCATCGAGCTATAGGCTCCGGTATTCCTGTCAAGCTTAACTGCATTCTTTCTGCAACCGTTGACCTGGCCACATAGGAACGTATTGACTTTTTGTTCCCCGTGGCTATGGCTATGAAAGGTCATATATGGGGCCGAACTGGCGCCCGTTCATATGGCTTGGTCATCGTCCTTCGAGCTTTTCCCCCCCAAAAGAACACTTCGCCAATTCTAGACTAATATACTGAAACCCCAAACTTGCGCACTGCTGTCTGACCCGTTACGTTAGCATCATGGACTACTGTGCGCACTAACAACAACATTCGGGCAATTTAAGGACCACTGCAAGCTGCACCGTACACCAACCTGGAGAGTGCTGCCCAGTGCATCGGCGAGGGGGGTTGGCTGAGGCATGGACAAGCCCTCAAGGAAACTATGGACGCTCACCAGGTGGGCGTCGAGCTTAGCCAGGCCCTGCAGCGGAAGAATGGGCCCACAAGTTGGCCTGTTGTTCTGGAGCCACAAAACGAAGATATGATACGGATGAGCATAATCTATAAAAACAGACAACCCATTTTCAGGGCTCTCCAAAACGTTGCAATCGCATGTTAAGCTTAATGCCTCAATTCAGCTTGGTAATAACCCACCTGGGTCAGTGCACTAGCCGCAGGTGAACGTGCTGCCAGCAGTGCCTTATGGGCCATACGAAGCTCATCCCGGGCAGCCACGAGTTCCTCCTGGGAGAGCTGAAGCTTAGCAGCCGCTTGCGCCTGGTCATGCTGAAGGTTGACGACCTCTGATTCAAGCTGTGGGAGGGAGACACATTCCGCTTAGTTCTTATTATACCCGGGCACTTGGAAATCATGGTGAGGGCCCATGCCTTCAGATCCAGAAGCTGCATGAAACAACAATGCAGTAAGCTGCTCACCGCTGAGAAAAGCACCTGAGCTGCTCTCATCTCTGCCTCCAGCTCCTGCTCGCGCTTCTTGGCATCATCCAGATCCTTCCGCAACCTGTATGGCATAAAGTATCACCGACGGGGCATTTAGCAAATTATGTCAGGAGAGCGCAGCACCGCCTGATTGGCAAGGTATCCGTAGGCCGCCATAGACGCTAAGATTTCAGCGCCCACGAGCCCGCGTGCCCCTGATCAGGTGGTGAACCGACTAGGACTCGCAAACCACTGCCACCTGTAAGGTACGTGCATGCCATAGGCCCGGATGCAAGTTGTACCTGACAGTATCCTCTTCCATTCGCTTCGTGGCGTCAGTCCCCTGAGGGCTTACGACAGACGCGGCCGTTAGCAACGGTGAAACAAAGCAAGCATCCCTGGCCTCCAATTGCACCTCCAGCACTGCTTGCGAGCGCTCCTGCGCAGCCGCAACAGCCTTGAACGTGCGCTGCGTGCTGTGGGCTACCGCTTCAAAGCTGTGCGTGAGCTCCTCGGTAGCCCCGGAGATGTCCAGTAGCTCCGCAAGGTGTGTGACTGCACCAACAATGTCCCCGACGGCATCTCGCGCTTCCTGCACTTGCTGCTGCGCATGCTCCGCCTCGGCAAGTGCACACTCTGCCTTTTCCCGAGCAAAGACTAGCTGCTGCTGCAAGGCTGCCGTCTGAGCAGACAAGCTTGTCTGCAAAAACAAATGCACAGGGGAAGAAGGGTAGACTGATCATGAGAAAAAAGGTTGCGCATACCCTTTCGAAAATAAACAGAATAATAAAGCGTTGCGACCATACTTCAAACAGTTTCCGACAAGAAATTCCTAGAGGCAACACATTGCAGCGCACCTCCAGTGCAAGCTTCTCCTCCGCAAGAAGGTTGCATTGCTTCTGCAGGCGATGCTGGACGAGCTGGGTGGCCGCAAGCTGCTTTTCATAATACGCAACCAACTCATCCGCGCCCTGCATCAAATAGGAGCCTTTAGTAATCGCATGAGCCTTGATGTTCCAACGTCAAACCAGTAGCACCGCACCCACCAGAGGCACCGCAGGCTTCTCGCCCCCACCGAAGCGCAATGATGTAAGATCATCGCTTGTATCCATCGTTAACAGAGCTTCCGCACCGCCGCAAATCTTTGCGTTCGCAAAAGATTAGATGTAAGCGACGTTTACATTTCCGCAGTCAAACGATGCAACCCCGAAACAGCCCCCCATGTACCTTATCCAAAGATGTGGACTCCATTAATCGCAACTCCTGCTCGTGCTCCAGCCTTGCGGGGCTTGAGGTGATGTGCGCCATTTTGGTTCCGTGTGCCCTCAGCGCATGCCCAGCCAAGGTAAAAGCGCATCAGATAGATGCATAAGAAAGCTTTGGGTGAAAAATAACTGCAACGCTTGCTCCTTCTCGTAAAAGTTACTCTCGGCAGTCCTAGGACGACCAAGCATCTCTTTTCCTAATGCAACACAAAAGTTATACTAAAGATGGATATGAGTCTAAATTAATGTTTAGGCTAGCCACGATGGTGTTCTGCCTCGGGGGTTGCAAGCCGTATTTACCCCCGTACAGGTTGCATATATGGAGCTAATTTGCTTTGAGAACCTGCAACTGCATTTGTCTGCCCTCCTTAAAATTACTTTGTTTCTCCATGCTGGGTGACAAACCAAGGAGCCTTGGCCCTGGTAAGGAATGCAATAACCGCCGGCCATATACATGACAGCCGCGTCCAAGTAACATGTCCGCTGCGTCTTTGTATGCTTATGATATCAAAGCTATGCCGGTAAACGCGCCCCTGCGGTTTAGTTGTATTGATACATCCTGTGGCCCCCGGGTCACGCCGAATTCCATGTGCAAGCGAGCGCTCTGACCTTTCAACGAATCCACTACGGTTAAGGAGGCAGAGGTTAGGTCCTTCCATGGATTTTATTGGGCTGTGCGCTCTGGGCATGGGGCCTGGAAGTGGTCAGGAAATGGTCAACGTACGGCGTAAGTAAGCAGAGACGAAGCTCCATCTTTTAGACATTAATTTCCGACACGGTCCTACCAAGGATGTTAGGCCCTCTGGACTGATCAGCGCGGTCGCTTTCATTCTGGACTGCAATATGGAGCCCTTCAATTCCCTCGGGGATATCAAGCTGAAGGGGCCACAATGCCCTTAAGTGGACATCGATAAAAGGCTATTGCCTGTGCAGGCGGCACAACGGCTCAGTCACAAGTGTCAAAGTTTAGCACCCGCCAGCCAACCGACACCACCCGATACGCGACGTTACATTGAACAGTTGTGCTACGTGTTGTGATGCGCTTATCGTAACCTTAAGCTTGTTTACAGGCTAGGATAGACACATAGGTGTGTTGTGGAATTAGCCAAATGTGATGATTCATCACGTTGTAAACAAACCTGTGATATAGTGAATTCGTAGCAAAAAAGAGCAACTTACTCGTTGCGATATAGCTGAAGGACAGAGGACGGGAACAGGATGGGTTGCATAATAATCCAATATTTCATCAACCGTACAATCCCGCAGTCCACATGGTCTGCAACCGTGCAAGAGCACTTCCATATCATGCAATCAAAACTTATGTTCTGGCAGTTGGCTTTGCCTACCATACGACTGCCTGGTGAGCTTCTAGAAGTTTAAAGCCGCATCTGCTTTCACACGGAAACTCCAAAAAGGTGAGTAACGTCATGGCATAGATATTCTGGAGACATAACTTTTGACACCATATAATACACATTCTGCAATAAAGACGGTTTGCGTATTTGCACCTTGACACACACCATTTTTACAACCACCCCTGCCACACAGGGGTTGCATAGGCTTTCTGCTCGTTGCATAGGCTTTCTGCTCGTGCAGAGTCCAACGCAGTCATGCCTACCGCCTCTGCAAACGCCGATGTATCATCTGTACCTGAGTTGTTGAACCCCGGCCAGAACTGCGAAACCCCTGCAGCCTCCGTTTCCCCGAATCTGCTGCCAAGCGATGCAAAAGCCCTCGTGTTTGGTAAGTCCATTTTCTTCTCCACAATCACCCATTCGTTGTACCTCGGATCCATCCCTGCAGAGGGATGCAAGCCCGACTGAGTAGGAACGCGCGTTTCTTATTCGCCGGAATTGATAATCCCAGCCTATCGTTTTGCTACCCGAGCGCCAATATCCCGCTAATGCTTGTTTGGCCTCCCTTTCCGCACGTGTCAGATTGCGATGGAACGTTGCTAGACAGCATGGGTATTCACTACGAAGCTTGGAAGAACACCGCATCACGCTTTGGCATTAAAATCACCGCTGCTGCTATGGTGGAGCTGGCCGGTAAGCCACTTCGGAGCACCACAGGGGCCTGGATCGCCCACGATCGCAACCTTTCGGAAAATGCTGTCACCCATCCTCCAACTCGACTCAGGCAAGCCGGTGAACGAGTTGCTGGACATCCTGGCGGAAAGAAGCGGCGTGACTGTGACACCCGAGGTAGGGGTCACGAGTGCAAGCTTAAGAAGAATTGTCACTGGGACGGAATGAATGCGTGGGTCGGACGCGTTCGGGAAGGAAATCCTAGCCGCTTACCGGCAGAACCGCTACCGGACAAATTCCGCCTAGTTCGCCACTATTCCTGATTGGGCTCGGGTTCACACGCGTGCAGCAGGTGCATAGGACGCCGCCTCCGCTTCCTCCTTCATGCGACTTCTAATACTTACGAGCCAGGGTCGATTTCACCTTGCCTTGATCCGCAGCTGCGCCATGAGTTCTTCACTACCAAGTCCAAGTACTACCTGGAACATGCGAAGGAGGTAGGTAAAGCAACGCGTGATGGACGACAAGGGGGGCCAAGTAGACGGAGTCAGGGGCGGGGGAAATGGACGGGATTTGCGCAGCATGAAAGCCTTATATTTTGCCGCAACTTACAGCTGTGGAATGAGCACCCGGGTCCTTCTCAGGTTATGATACAGCACTCCAACTATCCCCAAGTGTATCGCGCGCGTCCCGGATCCTACCCCATCGCGGTACTCTACCGGAATGATGCCCTCGCTGGCAGGAGGCCTTTCCACAGAAGCAGCAGCGCACCCAGAAAGACGTAAACGGATTGGGAGGGTCTCAGAATTCCGGTTTATCTTCTCCAAAGGGGCTTATGGGGCCCGAGGAAACGTTGCCTTGCTCCAAACCTGCCTGGCTCCTTTTGGCTCCATTTCTTTCCTTTTCATGGGCGTTGCAGGTCAAGGTGATCGATTCAGTTATCGACATTGTGCGCGCCGGCGCCGCTCGCAGCTTGCCCATGGCCGTAGCTTCTGGTGGCACCCGCAAGCACGTGATGGAGGGGCTCACATCTACGGGGCTGCTGCCGTATTTCAATACGGTGGTTTGTGGCGAGGATGTGCCCAATGGCAAGCCAGCACCGGACGCGTTCCTGCTGGCTGCTCAGCAGCTGGGAGTGGACCCCGTTGGCTGTGTTGGCTACGAGGACGCGGCGCTCGGCATGCAGGTGCGGATGCAGCCATGCTGGGCGAGCCGGCGATGGCAAATGGAGGCCAGCAGTAACTCCTTTTGATTGGGCTGCTCGGCTATCTTGCCGTGCTCATGGACGGCTCCGTGGCCAATTTGGTTGTTTGGTGATGGCTTTGTTTGCCGTCAAGCGAGGGACTTCACGTAGGGGCTACCAAAAAAAGACGCTTTCATTCCCTGCCTGCTGCCCAGTTCTTGATGGGCACCCGGTTCTGCTGCCCGCAGGGTCGATATGGCCAACATGGCCAAATGGTTTCCCTTCATGCACAGCCCGGCCTGCTCAACTCGCCCACATCGTTGATTGAGTTATTGTGCACACTTGCGTGTTACATGGTCGGGTCTGAAACCCCATATCTGCAAACCTGCCCTTACAAGGCAGGTGCCATGCTGCGTACTGACTGCTGTGTGCGCTTATGTGCGCTGTGTGCTGTCCTGCAGGCGATTCGTAACGCCGGGTACATGCTGGCAGTTGACGTGACGCAGCTACCCGGCTACCCCCACCTGACGGACGACTGAGGTGACGACGGTGATGGAAGGAAGGCTTGGTGCCGCCGCTGCCCGACCGGCTTAAGCGAGACGCTGAGCCTGCTGCGGTGACGATGGGAGGCACCCTTCCTCTAGCGAGCCCAGCTGTCAGAAGAATCGGAGTACATTACCGCGTGGAGAGGAGCGGAGTGTTAATGCAATGAGATACCAATGAGGTCATGTAGGGAGTTTAGGAGGAAGCGTCAGACCGTAACAAGTGGACAGTGCTTGAGAGGAGTTGTCGTGGAGGGTTGTGCTGATTAGGGAAACCGTGTGCAAAGCGAGGGGCGGCGAACGTGGCGAGCTGTGGGAGATCATACTGGAGGGGAGGGTGGGTGCGCCATATATAAGAAGAGAGTCCGGTCTGCGCGGAGTGTTTGGGTGCGGTTTGATGACGGAATGTGACGCGCAATCGTTTGCTGCATTCGACGTTCTGGTACTTACCTGACCTAGCCAGCGCTTTCATATAGCGTGGAGAGCCCCTGGAATTGTCTGCCCCGAGTGAGCCTACCCTGTATTCCTGTTCCATCAACTCGATTTGGCATGTTGATCTCCTTTGGTATTCTTGTCCTCTATCGCTGCTTGCGATCCAAGTGGTCCAGATCTTAAAGGTGCGGCAATGGCGGGGCGGTGTAGCGCGCACTTTCGTAGCCGTGTGACCGCTGTGGTGTAAAGTTCATGTGTCGAGAAATGCTAGGGACTCCTCGCGTGGTCAGGGTTTCCGCGTTTGAGGCTTTAGGGTTGGTAATCCAAGATAGGAGAGGCGTCTGGATTTGACCTGCCACCCTCCGTTTATATTGGGATGTTTTGTTAACGCGGTTTGGGTGACATGTCAACACCCGCATACATAGTAAATGGGGTGGGACAAGGGCTGTGACGGCGGTGAAGGGGTGCTTGCTATGCACGAAGGGATGCCTGTTTACTGTTTTGACACGCTTCGTTATGCTGCGCTTCAGAGAAGTGAGGCATGTATACTTTAGACATAAGAAGGTTGGGGGATCGTGGGGACGGGCTAACCACGGCCGTTCTGCTATCTGACCAGTCACGCGGGTGTCTAACGAGCGAGGACAGGGACAGCTTGTGGTTTGCGGAGCTGTTTGCGAAGGTTAAGCGTTGCGGCCGCAAGTAAACCTTTTTCGGTGCTAGCGGAGCCATCACGTTCTGCCACAATTTCCCTGCAGGTATGCCCGTCGCTTGAGGTGGACCGACAGTTTCGTCATAAGCCATTACCGCTATGACGTATGTGAATGTCAGATTTTGACAGCATCCTCCGCTGCAGGTGCTTGCGACCGGCTTGTAACGCAACCGTGTCAATGATTTTGGAGCATACAAACATGTAAATATAATACGTAAATAGTTATGCACTTTAGAAATTACGAGTTCCTTCATATCATCGGCTCCCTTCTTCGTGCATCGTCGTGTGGGCGTGGCGGTTTCCACAGCAGGATCCACCGTACGATGGGAAAGCTCCTCAACCGGCAGCTTTCTTGGACGCATCCATTAAGGTTGGGATTGCCGCACGACTATTCTGACTGTGGTCGCGCTTGCAAAATTTAGGACAAACTAACGAAGATGCAACTCCTCCGTTATTCCCTGAAGCTTAACCTGGCTGTCCCACGGAAAAACCAGACTGATGCATCACATTGCAGCCAACTTGCGTGACAACGCAATTATTACGTCGAGATATGCAAGATAGGCTGGCGCTGGAGAAATCGGCGCATGGACGTGGTTGGTTGAGTTCCCATGTCCAGCCGTCGAAATGCAACGCCAGGCGTACCAACAAGCGACGGTGTTAGTTTCCATCATCATGGCACTCCTGCAGCAGACTCTAATCCTTCCAGCAATGTCAAAGTCTACGACTTTCCATGGCCGTGAGGCGCGAGGCTGGCGTGCGGGACAGACGGGCAGCACCGACGGCTCAAGCGCCGGCTGCCCCGTCGACCTGTTAAATTTCATGCATCTGAATGAGCGTTTTGTTGAAAGTGAGTTCATTAATTTGTACAAGGTACACTGGCAGTCACCTTGCCCCAGCCATGCCGCATCTTGACTGCCACGGCCGCACAGGCATACCACATTAGACGTGGAAAATCACATATTGGTATGTGGTTTAATAGCTCTTCCTCATACACATTTCCACGCACCACCTTCGCCATATCTTACAACGTATCACCACCTTTTACCCTTCTGACGCATCTCGTTCCCGACTTCCGCGCTTTTCCTGCGCAAGTGAAAAGGTCCTTCTAACTATTTCAACTAATTCGTAAAGTCCCACACCTTGAACTGCAGGCTTGACACCAGGCTTGCGCGTCGATCCGCCTACTGATCAGCTGCCTTCCCAGAGCGGATCAAACGGCAGCTTGGGGTTGATACGGGATCTTTGGCCGCCGTCCTACAGCCGCCCAATCGCATGTGCCCCCCTGGTATGCGGCCTGGTACGCACCGCGTTACCAGCCGTCCAACGAATCAGCAGCAGCGGCTGTGCTGCCGGGTCCGAAACTCTCGTGGGCCATCAGGCCGACGGCTGGAACTCCGCCAACCCATCGCGGCTGCCACCGCGGCAGCCCCCACCGCCTCTTGAGCAAGCGGTTATTGCCGTCATTCGGGCGTGCTCCCGGGTATTAGCTGTTCAGCTGGCCATGCACCTAGCGGCCTTACACCACCAGCAACCACTGGAGCTATCACGGCTGCCACCGCTATCACAGGCCGGAAGCCTGGTTCGTCACCTAGCGAACTGTCCACTGGATGGGGATATGGTGCGCAAGTGCCTGGCGTCGTCGTCCGTGTCAGGGGCTGGGGTTGGGTGGTCATCCACCGTGGGGGAAGGCCTTGCCGCAGTGGCGGCAGCAGGGAGGCGCCCCGATGGGGGCAGTGGTGATGCGCTGCAATGCGGAGATGTCGGCGGCTGGGTGTCTGAGGACACCTGGTCGTTTTCTGGCCCGTTGCAATCAAGGGACGTGGCGGCAGCAGCGGCGGCAGGGGAGGGCCCCGCACCTGTCGTCTGGCGGGGCAGCTGCTCCTGTCGACGGCTTTGGGAGCCCGTGTGTGATGCCGCCACGGGCCGCCAGTACCCCAACCGGTGCTATGCGGACTGCCAGGTGGGCTGCAGGGCCTTATTGGCCACGTGTCTGACCACATGGGTGCGGGAGAGAGTGGGGCAAAGTTTAGTATTAGGACAGGACCCGGAGCCAACGCGATTTTGCATGCGCCAGCTTGCTCAAAGCTGCGCACCATCCGCAAGCTCGTGTCACCATGCGTAGGGAAAGGGGTTTAAGAGCTGCTGAATGAGAAAGAAAAGGCTAATCTGGGGTGAGGGCGGATAGAGGATGAACAAGAGTGCAGCCCCGGCATCACACGCCGGCAAAAAAAGCGGCAATGGTTGTTTGCATGATTGGTGGCCTTATGGGCACATCCCAATCCTAAGTGCATAAAGTGGGTCTGACCGAACTCAGCGATCACAGTAGTTACAGAGCACGACATTGAGCCCTTACGTACGTTATGTACATGCTCACCGCAGGGAGCTGCACGGCTGGCAGTACCGTGCAGCGATTTGATGATGCCGCGGCAAGCAACCGCTGCGTCGGCTTCTGCTGCGGCCGCGGAAACGGCGCCGACGGCCGCTGCTGCTGTATCTGCGTCGGCTCCAGTTGACGTGAAGGTGCAGCATGCCACAACTTCAGCCGCGCCTGCGGGAACCAGGGACGGCGCGGCGGCCGCCACCACCACCACCTCGGAAGGAACGGCATCAGCTTTGCGATGGTGGTCTATTTTTGCTGCTTCGGTCGCCACCTTACCCGAAGAGGCTTCAGCAGCGACGGTGAAAGCCTCCGAGGATGAGGTGATGGCGGCAGCGGCGGAACTGCGAAGGCTGTTCTTGGCGGTCGGGGCGGCTGCGGCAGAGCCGTCCATCCCATACCCACTCCCGGCTCCACGCAGGGAGGCTTACGAGTTGGTTCTGGGTACTATGGCGCAACTGCTCCAGCCCCCTGTTGAGCTATTGGCAGCTGAGGCTGGAGACACGTTGCACGAGGAGTCCGACGGAGTGCACATGGCGGTGAGAGGTTCGGCTGGGGCCGGCCCTAGTGCGAACGGCGTGGGCACCCACGTCGGCGTGGCAGCAGCCCCAGTAGGAAAAACTCATCCCCGGTTGGGTATCGACGGCATGGCGAGCTGGGACAGCTGCGTGTGGCCACCGCTGTCAGGTGCTGCACATGGCACACCCGTATCCATCGCCTCTCCTGCCGCCTTGGGGGTTGGTGGTGTCGGAGGCGGTGGCGGTGGCGGTGGCATACATCCCGGGTGTCTCAGCCGGCTGCTGTACTTGATGAACCTACTGACTGCAGTGGGACTGACCGGTGACGGGTAGAGGCGAGGGGTGGTGGTGGTGGCCATGGCGACAGAGGGCACGGTATGGCATTGCTTGTATGCTGGCTAGGGTGTTTGTTAGCTAACTGGCTCACTGGCTGGCTGGGGACTAAGGCTTAGCTAGCTGGCTGTGGCTGGCCAGCTTTTGCGCAGTCTCGCCAGTATGCTGATAAGGGAAGCGCAGGCTGGCGGTGGCAGAGACGGCCACTTGGTCCTCAGCTGGATATCAACTTGAATTGTTTGAGGGTGGGGGGTGCTGTTGGTTGTCGTGAGCAGCTCAAGGATTTGGCGCGATGAAGGGTAACACCTGTGTAGGTGTGCGTGTTTGTGTACATACAGGAAAACACGGCGAAGCCTTCGTGATCCATCATCGTAATCACCACCTTTATAATCGTTAAATCCAATAGGCGACAGTCGTCAGACGTCATTGTGATGTTCGCGTAAGCACCGTTCAGTCTTATTACGATTCCGCATCTTAGCTTCAGTACTTTAATCATACCTAGGTGCGCTGGCGTTGGTGCTAGTGCTGCTTGTAAATGTAGCAGCTGACCGCTGAAAAGGTCTCTCGAGTTGCTGGCGGTCGCGCTCTGCGCGTATTTATAGCACCGTACTGTGTACTGGCTGCTACATTCCCCCCCCTTTGAAGGGAACCGTCCCGGGCCCTTAGAGCCTCGTATACCGCCAGCCTGTGCCTACCTTCGCCTACCCTCGGGCAGTGGGGTGGCCAAGCCCACGTCGCGTCATGCCGCCCTTCATGCGCCTAGCCTTCAGGTTTTTCAGGCACAGAGACAATCCAGTCGGTTCAGCTACTTTTTTTAGTTTTTGTGCGATATTCGCTCACTGAGTCGCCACACCCGAAATACCACTCGAATGTGATCGGTGGGGGTTGAACCGACGACTTCAGGATCGTGATATTTCACGAGGTCTCGATACCAAATGTAGCAGCTGACCGCTGAAAAGGTCTCTCGAGTTGCTGGCGGTCGCGCTCTGCGCGTATTTATAGCACCGTACTGTGTACTGGCTGCTACAGTAGAACACTTATGGTCCCAATCGTGGTGAGCAGGGGACATAACCCACGTATAAGCTGCTGCTGAGCCGCTGTCGTAGAGTCTCCCGGCCGCATCGGAGGAAATGACGCCGCATACGGGCTGTGGATGTGCATTAAGCAGGCAGTAGCCTAGTATGGGCTGGCTATTCTCAGCCCGCATAGATAGGGCAGGTGAACGTTGGCATGGACGGCTCCGCTAAAGCGGCTAGCATATTCACAGGGTGGCTGTGTTAAACTTGCACGTCTGTTCGCATTCTTGACATAAGCAATCAAGCAATTCCAGTTACACTGGCCATTCCCGCACCCATAAGCATTTCTTGGATCCTGGTACATTATGGCGGCTATTTGACGATGGTACGCGAGCGCGTGGCTCTTCTGAGTATATCCCGGAGCGTGACAGTGGTGCGTACCATCGTCAAATAGCCACACATGAACAATCACGACCCCCGCGGCCTTCTACGACCGCGTATACAGCACTGCTACCGAAACGTCAATGTACCTGCGGGCCCCAGGCCAGGCGCCAGCATCTCGCAGCCCCACAACGGACGCAAAATAAACCGCAGCTGCAGGGCCTCTGTCGGCCTAAGGAAGTCTCCCACAACCACACGGAGGATCACTCGCGCAGCAACCTCCCTTCAGCCACTCTAACCTCAGTTTACCCGAGCAACCGGATTGTGGGTGAGGCGCGTCAGGGCCCCTGAATTGTGTGAGGGACACGCCTGGGAGAGACTTCTTGACTGCAGGCCGCAAGTACCAGCAACAAAGGCTGAGGGTCCCGCGCTGGAACCGGATCACTACCCAAGCGCATAAGCGTGTTTCCGGGCCACCCCTGAACCCCGTTCCGTCCCCGCCCCCAGCACCTGAACATGCTGGGCGTGGAGAGGAGAGCGACGTATCAAATGGACATCACAAGGAAGCTGTCCAGCAATAAACAGCCGGACTTGGTATCCGTTCAGGCATCTCGGGCTCTCCCATTCCCATAACACCAATCTGCATGCAGTAGAATTCAGCTCTCAGTTCCAGGCTAACAGCTGCGCCCCTCCTCGTCCACCTCCCCCTGCCCGCTGAGACTCCTCGGCCAGCAGCAACACCTCACCCCGACAAGTCCGCAATACGCTCGTGCCAGGGTTTCGGATACACAGCATCATGCCACGACCGTGCGCGTCACACATGCCAAGTCGCCCCGAAGAAGCGCCCAGCCCGCTGGCACCACCCGACCGGCTCCCCGGACCTTTAACACGGAAGACGTCGCCTTCACCCTGGCTTGCCAAGCCGACCGCGTCGCACAGGGCAAGTCCACCTGGGTAGGTAGGTGAGCCCCGGGGTGATGCGGAAACCACGTATCCGAGAACCACCATTGCCCTCCGGACCTTCTGCTCAGCCACAGCTCGAGACCCAGACCCAGCCGCAGCCAGCACGTACTGTTCTGCAGCCCCCGCCGAACCCTCCACCATATCCACCTCGGAGTCCATGTCCATATCCGTCCTCACCAAACGGCCTCCTGCTGCTCGGCCTTGGCCAGGGGTGCCATAGCCAGTGGTTTGCAGGCCAAGGACTTCCGCACCCGCCTCGCATCGGCCCCGTCCTTCCACCCGCAGAGCCACATACACTACCGTGCCATACTGGGGTTGGTGAGGGTGCCGCTGCCACTGCATGGTGGGCGTTGGCGCCGCAGCGGGCGGTGCCAGTGCTGGTTGTTGGTGCATCGGGGGTGGCAGCAGCGGGGGAGGCGGCTGGGTTGGTTGCTTCACCAGTCCGAGCCGCAGCGCCTTCCGCAACGTCCAGCCGTGTAGACAGTCCTTGCTGGCGGGCTGGCGGCCCCGCACCGGCCGCTGCTGCTGCGGCGGCGGCGGCTTTAGATCCAATTCCTCTACGTGCCGAAATGCGGTTTCGGGGTCCTTTAACCCACTCGACGCAGCCGCCGCTGCCGCCACCGGCTGCTGTCCCCCTCCCTTCCCACTGCCCAGCAGGCAGCACTGCAGGGTCCTCTTGTTAAGGGCCAGTGCCCACTGGGTGAACCCGCCCCCAGCTTCCGTACCACCGCAACCGCCATTGCCGTCAGCCGATATCCTCCACGTGGCAGCTCCACCGTCCCGGCCCTGCATATCCCCATCCCCATCCACGTCCATATCGGCCGCTACTTCGCCTCCGTCTCCTCCTCCAACTGTAACAGCCTCCACCGCCCCTGCTGCCCCCGCCACTGCCGTTACCTGCCTGGACCTCCCTACCCTGGGCCCTTCTTCACCCTGAAGGACACCTTCGCTCCGTCCGCCGCCACTCCTGCCAGCACCCCCTGCACCGCCGCGCAAGGCGCTGGGCACTGGTTGTACCGGGAGGAGTGGCGGCTGTCTCAGCCTGCAGGCGGGGCCAAGGGGCCGGTATGAGGAGTCGAGGAATGAGAAGCAGCAGCGTCTGCAGCCGCCGCTGCCAGTCCTAAAGGTTGCCGGCGGAAGAGTTATTAAGATTGGTAGCAGGTCGTGTTTGCAGCCCCACTTGGGGGCCAAGTGACCGGAGTAGCCGCCGCCCCCTTGGGCTCCGAGGCGCGTCGGACAGTGCCGTGCGCCTCCCATTCTCTGGGTCCCTGTACAACCCGCATGGACAGGAAATTCACACGGATAAACCCTAATAGATATGGCCACGGCAACCGATACAGCTATGTAAATAACTAGTATGCCGGTAGGTAGGGGTAGGTAGGAGTAGGGGGCCACAGCAGCACCCACCTGCTCCAATTCGCAAGGGGCCCGAAGTCTGTGGGCCGGCGAGCCCGACCCAGTGGCCGTTGTGATGCTGTCGCCGCCATCTCCGCTGCCAGTCCACGATTGAGCCTCACGCCGGCAGGCGTGTAAGGATGGTCATACGGAAAGCAGGGCGTACGGAAGTGCGCCGCCAGTTGCCGCCATTCGGACTGGCCCGTCGGCCGCGCGCCTGCGAGGGAGGGCGTATGAGAGCTGATTGGTTAACGGAGTCAGGTTGGGCCCTCTGCACAAGCAAGGAGGGGGTTGGGAAACCGGAGTTGCGAAGGAAGAGAGAAGAAAGATGGTGTAGTGGCCCCCGGCGATGAGGGCGGTGCCGCCCGTCTGACCGCCGTGGGGTCCACTGACGCGACCCATATGGCTCTGGCGGTAGTCGCACCGGTGGGTGGTGCTAACCGGGTGCCCTTCCTCGATCCCCTCCTTAACACCCCTTTGCGGCCCCCAACCCCACCGGTAAACGCCAACGCCATCCACACGGGCATCACCCAGTGGGCAGGAAGAACCAGGGACCAGCCGCTGCCAGGGCTTTCCAGCAGCGAAGTGGCGGGTGCAGTGTCGCACACCCTCACAGTCAGATCACTGCCACCGGGCCCCGCCGCTGTCCGCGCCCGCGCCGAGCGTGACTGCCTCACGACAGTAGACGCCCGGGACGATGTCCCCCAGCTTCTGCCCTCAGGTCGGCGAATCACGAGTAGAGGAAAACTGATGCCGGCGCCGCCTGCCACCTCCACCCCGCCTGGTGATGATGTTGACGCACAAGGATTGAAACGAGATGGCTGAGGGGGATGAGGAGGGGCATCCGCCAGCCTGATTCCAAAGCCGGCATGCAGGAGGCGCTTGCGTGCGGTGCGCCGTACGGCAGACACCTGGTTAGGGCCCAGGGGAGGTAGTACGGCTGCTGTAGCTGCTGGGCCCCGCGGTGGCCGCAACGGCGGTGAAGGGGCATCCGCAGATTGGTTGACCGCGGTGGCGGGGCTCGGTTCTGGCTGTAGCTGCGGCTGTCGCGGGGCGGGGACAGTGCGCCAAAGCGCCGCTGCACCCGCCGTCCAGTCACCTGCGTGCCGTACAGAAAGGGAACATGAGCAAGGTAACATCGCCATCAACAACTTTGGCTTTAACGGAGAGAATACAAGAGACTGCTCAGCATCAAGAGCCCGAGGCATGAAGTTGGACTGTCAACGGATGACAGACAGCCATCCCGTCGCCCAACTGTTTGGCCGTCACAAAAACATACGATGCGCCACTTTTTCTGCTAGCGGGTCGGCTTTACATCACGGATAGACATACATGCATGCCACGCACCTGCCTCCGGCCACTGCAACATCTGTCCCTTGAGCTCCTCCTCCGGGAGCCACCACAACCCGCCATCGCCTCCGCCATTGCCGTCAGTTGAGCTGTATATACCCCTCCCTGCCGCCTCCGCCAGCGCGTCCGCGTACATCGCAATGCCTCCCACACGCACCGGTGCCGCCAGGCGCGGGTCCGCTGCCGTCATACCCAGTACGGCACCCGCTGGCCAGCGCCAATGCCGTCGCCAACCCGAGCCGTCCGGCGCCCCGCTGGGTCCCTCCGGGTCGAGCCCCTGGCAGTCACCCTTGAAGCTCCACCACACTCTCCCGCCCAGCATGGAATCGCCAATCTCGCCAGAGGGGTAATGCGATGTGCTGGTGCCGCGGCAGGCGCCGTAAGCGGAGGCGGCAGATCTTGAGCCCGCCACCGCCGCTGCCACCGTGGGCATAGTCGTGGGCATAGCGCCTCCACTGCTGGCGCCGCCCGCAGCAGCCACATGCGTGTGTGTGGGCAGCAGCACTCTAGCAAGTGCCGCGGTGGCGGCCTCTCCCACCACATCAATCCGCCGAAGGTCAGAGCAACGAGAACGGATACTCACTCCGCCGCCGCCGGAAGGGGCCGCCATGTCCTCCTGCCCATCCTCTCCTCCTGCCTCCGCTGCCTCCGCAGCAAGTTCCACCTGCTCCAACTCTGCCGTTGCCTGGTGCAATGCCTCCCACACGTCTGTAAAAGCTGCGGCATGGACCCACAGCCACAGCACACACCGCCGAGCCCATCCCTCCGGATCAATGCCGTCACTGTCCAAATGGCGCCCTGATACCTCTTCCGCTTTCTTCCCCCCGCCCGAGCACCCCTGTTCCTCGGCGACGGTGGCGGTGGTTGTTGTGGTCGTGACGGGTCTGTCTTGTAGCCATAGGGCCCTTACAGGGGCCAGCGGGCCGTGTGGGAAGGCTCCTGGGCGATGCAGGAACAAGGCCCACTCGGCCGCGCCGCTGATGAGCTCCGGTCGGTCCAGAAGGGAGTCCAGGTGGCAGGGGTCACTGAGGGAGCCCACCGCCCCGCCCCGCCCCAGCCCGGCCCGGAACAGCGAAGAGGAGGGATGAGGTGCGAGGGAAATGGAGATGATACAAGGCAAGAAGTTGATTGTAAACCCTAATGAGTCAAAAGGAGTATCCGAATGCGAATAACGCGACACCGGGAAGGTGCGGATGGAGAAGACCCAGTGTTTACCGGACGCAGGGTCCGGTCAGTCGCAGTTCAGGTGCCGGGGGATGACGCACACATGCGTCCATGGTTGCCGCTCCAGACCCGGCCCTGAGAATCTATTGGGTGCTGGCGATGGGGTGCCCCCATTCTCGTATCCACCCCGTGCAAGCCGTTCGGGCATCCTATAATCGGAGAGCGCGTCGTCCAATGGCAACTCCACACTCCACTCCGCTCTTCCATCAACAGAATCTTCCCCGTCCCAAATCTCCCCCTCATGGCCCCACCTCATCCTCCTCAGCACAGCCGCCAGCACCCGCTGATGCCCCCTCAGCTCCACACAACCCAGATAGCTGGAGTCATGCAGCAGCACGCCCCCCGACACACCCGCCCCCAGCCTGCCTCCCCCCAGCCCTCCGTGGCGGCGGCGGCACCGCAGCTGAGCCAGCAGAGAGCGGCTCCCTCGGCCCCGACCCGCGGCGTGGGATGCCAACAGATGACCCCACCTGCCAGCGGAGGCGGGGGAAGAGCACGGGCATGAATGGTGTCAAATGTGTCGGGTTGAAAATGAAAATGGACGTGGGAATCAGCTGCTATCTTTTAAGGGCGCCTGCCCAGCCGCCCAGCCGTCCAGCACACACCTGGACTCCATAGCCATACGCCGGGCATGCCACACATGGGTCTCCAGTCGCCGTAACCCTGGACCCGAAATAAGACCCGGAACCACAGACCCCACGGCGGGGCCAGCTGCCGCCACCGCTGTCGCCACGTTGTCGCCAGGTGTTTCGTCTGGCGCCTGACCCGGCATGCGGAGTTCCGTATAACCACCTTGAGCGGCGACGACGAGGACCTCTTGTCCGGAAGCAGCCGAAGCTGAGAGGTCCGGTTCCGGTGCCAGGTCCAAAGAGATGCAGCTGGCCTCCACAGCAAGCTGTACCCGGCCGGGGCGCCGCCGCATGCGGCGGTTGGTGGGCCGCAGCAGCGGAGGCACCTCGTCTGGCAGATTGCGGAGGGCTGCGACGGTTGCCATGGTGGTGGCGCGTGCTTTGGGGTCGCCGGCAGCCGTCCCGGTCCCTGTCCTGGCGCCGGCTAGGGCCGCACGTTGCGGTTGGGTCGCCCCCGCCTGAGCTCGGGGTTTCATATCCGCGCTTGCCCGCTGGGAGGGGTGCGCACCGCCGCGGCCCAATCCCATCGCTGTGGCACAGCCGCTGTTGCTGTCCCCGCCACCATTGCCGCTGCTGTCGTCACCGCCTGGTTCTGCATTGCTGTACAATGCAGCAAGGCGCAAGTTTGGTCGACGCCGCACGCAGAAACGGCAGTGGCTGGTGGCCCGTCTGAAAGCACCAGGGAGGAGGGGGTAAGGTGGCAGAGGGGCGTTGGGGGAACTAGACGGGCGAAGGCAGCCAGAGTGATAGACAAATAGGAACAAGCGGCAGACGAAAATCCCTCAAAAGGCCTAAAGGCTCAGCATGTGCGCGGGTGGGGACCGGCGGCACTTCAGCTATTGAAGGAGATTTTCTTATCCAAGCTCATAAGCGAGTTAGGAAGTTCTGTTGCGCAGCACGGCTGCTGTGCTGCCGACCGGAAACTTGCCTTCTCAGATGACGTGGAAGGAAAGGAGCGCCAAAACGGTCTTCCCCGACATTTAGCTTCACGCCTTGCAAGAAATACCGGAGCTGCGGAGACGGCGGTGGACAAGCAAACAAACCAGCTTGACGGAAATTTCCAAGTGACCCGTGGGACAATAAGCTGTAAAGCAAATACACGGGCTAAGTAAATCCTTGGATGGACCTAAGGACATTACAGCATAATAATTACAGCTGAAGGGCCGCGCAAGGCATAAAACAAGTAAGGGAGCACCGCTGCCATCGATGTTGCCAAAGGCGGAGCGTCAATATACATTGCAATAGGAACCTAAATAAAGTCACCTACTTACTTCGGTTTCTCGTGCTTGGGCAAAGTCGCGAACGTCAAGGACTCGTGGGGGTTCGGCGGCTATGCTCATGGTTAGCTAAAGACTCGCACAAATTTACATTTCTTATTTAACAATACGTAAGCTGAAAGTGTTCGCAGGACAGCATTTAGTGGTCCAAATGGCCGTGATGTGAGTTAGGATTGGATGAAATTTGCGCAATGCACGAATCCCATTTACGGGAACCATATGAAGACAGTTCGCTATGGTGTCTGGTGTCTGCGTCTGCCGTGAAAAAGTTAGATCGGAGTCGCTGATCGTAATTGTCAGTTTGACTGTCGGGGCGACGGTTGTTTGTTGTCTCAGCGCCAGAGTGCAGGGCGGAAGGGTCTGAGCGCCACGTTTATAATATTAAAGTCACAAGCAGCTAATGTCATGGATGACATACTTCGTGCTATGTTTACGTCTCCAGGATTGTTTACATCGTCTCCCCTGCTTTTTACAGACACGCACATACAGGCTGTCCGTGAGTCGTTTATGCAAACGACCAACTAACCGCGTGCACCAGTCATTCAGCTTCGACGTAAGGGGATATTCCGTCACGTGACTAAGCACCCTATGCTGCATCCCTTGCGGGCCTACTGCTATTACAATCAGGCCAAAATTTATCCGTTATGTATTATGATTTCGGTCACCTATCCGCAAGTTCTACTGCGACAGCTGTACGAGGCAGAACAACCTGAATAATGTTGAACGGGTCAAGGGACATGATGTAGGGGAAACGGCGCTTGGGTAAGGACAGAGCCCAAGACGGTTTCATCACAGCGCACCATCAACTGCCTGCAGCAGTCCAGCAGCTGCCAGGTCCAGCAGCTGCTCCTAGGCAAAGGCCCAGACAGCCATCGGGACCCTGCGTCCCAAACCAGCAGCGCACGACAATGTCAACATGGACTTCTCCAACCTTGCCACAACCACCGCCATCCAAGGAAAAAAACCCCTGCGACGCAGGCCCTGGAGATACGACGGAAACGGACCGGCATGGACCCCTTTAGCATCCCAACCAGTAAGCACAACCCCACAGCACGCAGAGAAACGGTCCCACCAAACCCGGCAGGCAGGAGAACCAACACAACGATGGGTCGCCGGAACCTCTAACAGGTGATTGCTTAGGTCACAACGCACCGCCACCCATATGCGCTGCCTGAAGGCGGCTACGCACATCGCACGATGTAGGCTTAAGCATTGACCTGTAGCATCATCTCGTTGAGGCGGTCCCCCAGCTGGTAAACCGCGCCGTATTGAGCACAACGGAACCGGCCTGCCGCGTCAGCTTCGGATAGCCGAACACCGTCTGCGTGCGAGGAATACCGGTAAGGCACGCTCATTCCAGGGCAGGCCAGGCAGGTGGGTACACGGCAGGTTGCGCTAGTTCTGCATGAATCCGAAGGGGGAAATCAATGGGCGGGAAATGCAAAGCGCGCGTGGCTTACCCCGTTGCAGGTACGCCATGAGGCGCTTCCTAGCAGCGTCCGCACTGGCAGGGGTTATGTAGCCATCAAACTTAAGAACGGCGATTAGTTCGCCGCCGGAGACATTGACTCGCACACCGGGTTCGAGGGGGCTAGGCAGCGAGGTTGCGTCTGCAGTCACTGCACCCTCGCCCCCGCGAACCGTCCTTAGCGTGCCGGTGTCAACTCTCCGCGGCCCCAAGAACATTTGCATGAGTTTGCGACCCTGCGCAGTGCACATCGAAAGGTCGAGTGGGACATTACGCACACTGCCTAGCGAGCGGACGAGGGGGCTACTGATTGACTTACGTCTGGATAATAGCACATCACCACCGGTTGTGTGTAAGCGAAGCACACTCCCTCAGAGTTTTTTCCATCGATGTAGCTACCTAGGGACGCATACCCCTCCTCACGCCGCTGATACTCCATTTCGATGACAGGAAATACATTATAAAGCCTGCACGGTGAAATTGGTGTCCTTGTTCAAATCGCCGTTTCTTACCATAATCAGGCCGCGGGGAACGCCAGGCATCAAACCATCACACGGGAGCAACCGGGGAGAACGGCGGGTCGACGGACTCGAGGACTTAGGCCCCCCGCAACAAAATGGAGCCCTGATCCCCTCCAAGCAGAATCACCATGTGGGATCTGGGTTACGCAGTAGATGTTTCCCATGCACCCCCTGTGCTTCAGGCGTCGCTGGGTACATCGTTGCCTTGTACGAACCTTCAGGACCGCTGATACATCACAGCTTTACCTTAATGAGTATTCGCCGGTTTTGCTGATGACGCTGTAAGGTGGGAACACTGGACGCCCGGCATCGCTCCCTATTAAGGTCTTGTCCACAGTCGAACGTTCCCCACCTCCTGCACTGTCGTAATTTCCCTGATCTCGACCAAGCATTTTGTTAAAACCACGTAAAAAAGACCTGCATTGCGTCTTGGAGCTGCATCTCCGAACCGAGGCGCAAGGCAGACGGTTCCAACTTCTTTCTATCCTTATCATTTTGCTCTGGTAGGTTACTTGCATTGTCTCCAATACAGTTTTAACTTCCGTTCGGGTGTTCGGATCAAAGCCTCTTGTTGAGCAGATATCAAGAAATTACCAGTCAAGAATGAGTGGCCCAATTTTTTGTTGGCTAGTAACACTCAAAAATTGTATGAGGAACACTTTGATGATAAAGTAGCTTAATAAATTTGAGGTGTTTCATACGCGTTTGGGCCACTCATTCGTGACTGGTATCAAATCGCTAGATAACTCTTTGTTCTTTACTTTTCACTATGTACCGAAAGTTATCAGTGCACAATACGATACTTTCATCTTTCCTTTGATTTTCGTCGGAAGACGGTATTTGGATTTTAGTCAGACAGTCCATCCGTACAGCTGGCACTTTTTGAAAGCTTAACGAGCATCCCATAGAACCCGAGATAAATCCAAGGCCACGGATGGGAATGCATCACATTGGTATGGGCAGTTCCGCAATGCTCGTAAGCGTGTCTGCGGGCGTGTAGCATTTCAAAACCTTCCGTATTGAAGGCTGCCATGCGGGGATTGCGGGACTTCCAGGCACACAGTACTGAACGTATATGGGCAGGACGCGTAACAGTCAACACAACGATATCTCTTCACCGAAAATGAAAAAATCTTGGTTTGATCTCGTGCAAGTTGATGACACTACCGTTGCCAACGCGCCACACTCAAATATCTCCCCAACTGACTTCGGTTGATTTACCCTTTATAATATAATCAATTGTAGGAAACTAGGAACATCCCTGTTAAACGAAATCCGGATAAGGACACAACAACGTGTACACAATCGACAGAACGACGAAAGTATAACGACCCCACTAGGGGTTTTCAGCACGCTGTCATAAATGCATGAATGCTCTTACCACACACATTCACGCCCGTCAAGTTGCCTACCAGGTAGACAAGATAGATGTATTCAACTCCGTCCAACCGGGTTACTGGCAAGTGCATGGCATGGAAGGGCTACATAATACTGCAACCAACTTAACTGCCAAAATAACCACTGACACCTAAATGAGACGGATGGAACAGCATGACCACATCGCTAGTCAAAACTTCCGCGTCTACCACTTCTCTCCCTTCCTGTATCGCATGCAAGCACGGCATCAGCATCGTCGCGACAAACGCAGACAAACATGCAACAGCAACTTATGATGCTACCACCAGCTCTTATAGTTTGCTGCGTTCGCTAGGCCGCGCTCGCTAGCAAAGCTCAAAACAGTAAGGTATACACGGAAACGTAAATTGCAGTAATATAACCATGACCGCCCCTTATGCGAAATGGTCGAGGCACGCACAGCAGCCGTGCGTCATAATAACGCCTCCCTAGTTGCATCAATTCTATCTCTCCACTCTTCGTGTTCATACGATTAACATTATTAACATGCAGCCCAAAATTGTTACCGCATCCTAGTTTATCTCCACACTCAATGGCCACCTTGTGCGGCGGGATCCAAATCGCGCAGCCTGAGCGCCGATCTCCCTCCCCCGTTCGTCACATCGCCCGCCTAGCGCACCACCATTATTACTAGAACGCAGACCGCACCACCGCAGTATGCAACACGTGACACCGCAACCCACGTGTTGTACACAGCCACCCATGGCATCCACACCGCCAATCAGCCACGGCTCCAGAAGCCACACCAGCGGCCACAGCGACGCGCAGCGCAAAATCTCCACCGCTACGTAGGCCCCAGCATTGTGCTCCTCTCCCAAGCCCCAGCTGAGGGCTGAAAAGCCTGCCGCCGCGAGCGGTGGCCCACACATCCATGCTAGACATTCAAACCTGCAGTTGGTATGATAAGTGGAACGAAGTCTTCAACGCTTATCAGGGAGGAGAAAAAGCTTCTGTGACGGCAAGTGTTGTATAAACGAAATATAGATGGCGGACAGAATCCTAGCACACTACTTGATGAAAAGCTAACATAATGGAACTCCTCCAATACGGACATGTAAACACTCAACCAGGTCGCCGTTAATACACATTTCATGTATGTAGGAAGGGTTCATCAGGCCCGCAGGCATGAGCTACCTGGCCTTGCTGTCCACAGAGGAAACGCACCTTCTGCACTCTGCCTTCTGACGCCGCAACCGCTGCCGCAGCTCCCCGCAAGCTACGAACCAGCCCAGGCAAGTGCCTACCACCATGGCTGTCATTACAGTTACCACGAGCAGCGCCAGGATGGCGGTTGCACCGGGTCCCGTCTCCATCAGGCGTTCGAAGAAGTCCTCCGGTCCATCTCCAAGGACAGCAAGCGGGGGTGCAATGAGCAACACCCACAACATGCCAGCAAATAAACTGAGAGAGCCGAGGAGCATCCCCCACGGCTGCATGACCACAACTGCTCGGCTGCAGCTGCGGCCACAGGTACCAACAGCGCTGGCAGGTCTCCGACCGACCACTTGTGGCCTGGTGCTGTTCCCAGGACAAACCGTAGCGGAGAGCGGCAATGTTGCGTGTTGCTGGTGGCAGCGGCCGTGCAGTGTGTGGCCATTGCCGGCGTGCGAGTATGGCGGACGCCGCGCGAGCTGCGGTGTCGTTGCCATAATGGGCGTCAAAGCAGCGACACCTCCGCAACCTGCACATGACTGGACCGGCTGGGCTTGCTCCGCGTCGCCCGCGCCGGCCAGACTGCTGTCACTTGGACACGATGAATGCATTGAGTTACTCCCACTGTTGCTAACACTAGTGCTTGTCACTGTCGAGACTGTTACTGCGCAGGCCACGTCCCCGCAACTGGGAGATGTGAGAGCCGCTGGAGCAACATCTATACCTGCCTGCACCCTGAAACTCAAGCCGCGCTCCTGAAAACCGCCTGCCGACCATCCCACGGAATCGGTGGCCACACGCGGTGACGCGGCGCGCGCACTCGTGCACTCCATTACAATGCCGGGTCTCGGCACGTGGGAATCATCGCAACCCGATCCATCTGGCAGCTCCAATGTAGGTCTAAATGTAATCTCTGTTGCGGCTATTCCCTGGCCGGCCCCAGCTGCAGTCTGAAGCTTCAGCTGCGCCTTGAGCCCATCCACATACAACTTTGCCGCGCCGAATAGTACGGTGGCAACTTGCGATAGCTGCCAGGCCGAGACTGCGGCCCTCCAACCACCCACCACGCCGATGGAAGATGATAACAGCAGCTTCGCAGCATTTGCATCCAGTACAAGCAACCCCAGGGCCCGAGCTGACGCCGGGCTTCTGTGAGTCAGCGCGACGTGCAGCAAAAAACGTGAGCGGAAAAACGATGGCAGTGCAACCGGTCCGGATATGGTGGCCAGGAGGAGCCCCAAGTCTGCCCAGGATGCTCCCCTGCATTCCATAAGAAGTGCTTGCGCATTTGGTGGCCTACAGGCGACGAGCACAGGGGAAAGGAAGACCCTCAGTGCTCAGCAGGCGGAGAGGTGGAAGGAGAACATCAATACCATGCGACTGGTAACTCAAAGCGAATGCAAAACATCCAGAGTGGCTTAAGTGGCGTCCGTTCTGACGGCCCGCTGGCCCGCTGGCTCTACTCTTCGTGAGTCTGGAGCCCACTGTAACAACCACACGTTCTGTGTCAAGTCTCTCGGTTTTACAAGGCAAGTACCTGGTGATAGAGGCCCCGTCGTCTTCATGATAACGGCGCTCAGCAAGTGCATCCCAAGCGTCGACAATCATCAACGCCGCAATGCACTGCGTCACGCATGCGGTAAAAGGCAAGATATGCCGAAGGACGGAAGCTGTCGCCGAGACCTGCTCTTGCTGCAACTGCTGCTGCGAGATGCCATCCCCATCAAAGTGCCCAGGATAACGGGGGGATAACGACGCCGGGCAAGCAGGGTGCATGCTGGCGTCGTACCCGGACTCCATTGGCTTGAGAGCCTCTAATGCCGGGAGGTCGTGGTGACTTTTTAACGCCGATTGCATTGCGGAATCTGCGGGGCCAGGTCCAATTATTGCTGCCGAAACGGCACGAGAAGCTGCAACTCCCACAGCAGTGGTCTGCAACAACCAGAGGATCACTACCGCCGCCAAAGACACCTGCAGTTCATGGCGTCCTTCACGTGAGGAAGAAGCATCCAACAGAGCTCAGCACCACAGACAGCACAAGTGTCCTCGTAGGACAATCAGATGCACGCAAAGTTCGCGCTGACATCTGAGACCACTGCTCTCAACTTTACAGCCTACCTCGAGGCGAAGCAACGTGTAATCAAGCTGTGTATCTTCCGCTGACGTGTATCCGTTGTCGCTGCTTCTCCTCCCAATACCATGGCCCATGAACCAGAAAAGCTTGGCCAAAGATGCTGCAAGCCTGGGTAAGGTTATTCCGCCATCATCGTCGAACGTCGATGCCCAAATCCGGATGCTATACAGGTCTTGCTTCGGCATGATGAGAAGGACGCCTAGGAGCGCCACTACTAGCTGTGTCAGTCTGAGGAGACGTCGCGGCCCTTGCAATCCCATAACTGTCCAGCAGCACTGCAAGAAGCTGTAGGCCAAACACAAGGGTAAAGCGTCATTAAACTGCAATAAAAGTTTCTGGTTGAACATCGCGGCCTAGCAGACTCGCTCTGCTTTGTCCCAAAAAATCCAACCCATCTCCTTAAGGCTTGCAGTAGCCTCATTGCCCCCAAGATGCGCATGCGCCAGTCGTCTCGAGAGCGCTGCTTCGGGACCCCTTTGACGACCCTTGCGCGCGCCCTGATGCACCCACCTAGTGACTAAGACTGCTTGGGCACCAGGACGCGCCTGAACCCATGTCGTGTAGCCCATGATGACTGCAGCCACCAGGAATAACAGGGCGCTTGCAGGGATAGGCCAAATTGCCGTTACCACTGAAAAATGATGAGGAAGGCCCGGCCGGATAGCACGGGCATTTCCATCTGCCGATGCATGCGTCTCACTCTGCCATTCCGCGTGCATGTCCAGCTGCTTAACATTCACAATCAGTGAGCTCTGCTCTCCAAACGTGCTTGACGCAAGTACGCTTGGCGGCTTGCTGCGGTCGCTTTGGCACCCAATACGGCGGCCTGGGCTTATTGGTCGTTCCGCTTGGGCGTTGCTGTTGCACATGGGGATGACACCAAGATGCACTTGTGCTGTTGCAGGCGGCGCGGTCTTTAGGGTATAATTGAGAGTACTGCCTGAATCAGCTGACAGCCATATTTTTTTGTGTTGCACTTATTGACATGAACCACTGACCCCTGGGGCAACGACGAGGAAGATATGGCCCGTAACTTAAGGCACCTCCTCTTCTCCTGCGTCAACAAGCCTCTCCAAGTATCTGCTGTATTGCAAATATTGGAACAAGAGCTCCTGCTCCTGTCAGCCGCTGACACCTCGTCCGCTTGTGATTCAACCAGCTTACATGCAGAATATGTTCATACGAAGTATAAAAGGCTACTAGAAACGCAAATCCATCCACCAGAGTATATGTGTTGACGTGGCTCGACGTGGTTGCCAGCAGAAGTAAGCCATCCAAGCGTGAGCCGGTTATGAAGCCCAAATGCAGCGCCTTCGAGAGAAGTATTATGAACTAAATTGCCGAGGCCTTCGCGGATTCAGTGCCGACCAGCTAAAAATGACAACAACAGATGAATAATTGAAAACGAGACATGCATTCCCTGCCCAAGTAATCTTGTCAAGCAGTGAAGTTCATTGATTAGGGGTGCAAGCAAGAAGCGGCTGGATTTGGCGATATGTAAGCAACGACCTACTCCATAAGTATGAGCATCTGTTGATACAGCAGAATAAAGGCATAAAAGTGACAAACTGAAGGCATGTACTATGGGCGTGTGGGCTCGGTAAACGATTGGTTGACTGCGTCAACTCCGTACATGTACGTCCCATTCACGTGGATAAAGAGCTTGCGCATGTCACGTGCCTTGTTCTTCATTGCCTTTTGAACGGAGTACTCCTTCTCGGCGTACATTCAAGTTAATAATCTAATCAGCGGCGTCCTGGTGAAGCAGCTGCCCGCGTACTTATAGGTGCGGAAGGTGCCGAAGTACGTCGATGAAACAGGACTGGAGAGAATAGTGCAGCGGTATATTGTGAGGTAGTTGAAGTGTTACAAGGCGTTCGGCGCACGGGCGAATTTACGTGCATACAATTCATCGTGGGCGTGTGACGTTGCAAGCTAAGCAACGCGTATACATTACGTGTAGCATCAGTCCTCAGCTCAGTTCTTGTAACGAACATCAGCATAGGTCCAAGCCCTCTCGCTTAGAGGGATATTGCCAAATATAAAGTGCGTCGCCACTGCTCCTGCGACGCTCGAGCGACCCATAAAAGTTCCATACAAAGGTCCTCTAATGAAATGTCAAGCGAGCCGACCAAAATCTGCGAGTTGCCAGGTCGAACAGGTCGCGTCCGCGCGCGCGTCCGCTTTATGTCGCCCAGCTGGACGAGCGTGTACGGCGCCCGGTCCGCCGGCACCCGATATGCAAAAACAAACTTAGAAGGGTAAACTCACAACCTACGGAGCATTCACCCGACCACGCGACGAACCGTCCTTGAAAGGAGCAGCATACCACCCACGGCCGTATGCACAGCGAAACGCTGTTCCAAGCCATCAGCGGCGTCCGGTTCGGTGCGCGTTGAAGTTAAACATAAAATCAGAAAAGCCGTCCGGAGAAATGAATCAGGACGCCCAGCTGATAGTCAGTCTTTCGGAAGCTTTCGACAAGGATGAGGCTTGGCGGCTGGCTACAAGGCTACACCTCTAGAACTTGTGCTACTTCGCGTTGGCACAGCGGCCAAACAGCTGAAGCTAGTGGATGCCCTTATACTTAAAGGTAGGACGACTGAGCCGTCGAACCGATGCATATCCTGAAAGCGTGTTTGGGATTCTTGTTGCGCGTTGCGGAATGCGGGAGGCTTGGTTCCGAAGAGCTTGTGCGTGCCTAAAACCCTAAGGAACTTGCAACTGAGGTCCACCTGAGCGCAAACCCGGAGCGGGGAGCGGAGCAGGCTGGCCGTGGGGATCTACATATGCCGCTGTGCGTTCACGTTGCAAACGAACCTGATGAAGGCCTGCACCTGCCCTCGGTAAATGTAACCACGCAGAGCAGAGCTGGCGGTCTCACTCGCCAGCAGGTACGCAGGCCTATCGCCTTCCAATCATGGGGCCCCAGGCTACGCTAGGGCGTGACACGGCGCCGGGGATGACAGGCTTTCATGTTGGGTTGCCGGGAGCGGGCTTTGAGCAGTTGTGGACCGCCTCCGCCCCGCGCACGGATGACAAGGATTTGATGTTACCGGGAGTGATGAGCACTGTGAGGCAACCATTAATATTCCAATGCCTTCTGCTATGCAGGCCCGAGCTACAGATGTTCTGGGAGAATCTGACTGCAGCTGAGCTGACGATGGTGGACGACCAGCAGGTGCTCTCGCTGCCGCCGGGCATGTGCTTCCCGGCCAGCACAACAAAACTGCACCAGCTGCTGCAGCGCACGTGCTACCGCTTTTACCAAGATGCAGGACTGCATCGACGAGCCCTCATCAGACATCCAGCACTTCCTCGTCCTGGGGACACCAGGTGTGTCGTCAGGAGGACCGCTGGCACTCACATCTGCCCCTGTGCATGGTGTTGTGACCTCCGTGTTATGGCCCTGCTGTGCACTTCATGCTATACTCCTCGACATACCACCAGGCATCGGCAAGACCGTGTTCCTGCTGGACTTGCTCCACCGCCTGGCCTGCATGCGGCGCACCGTGGTGTTCCTTTCTTACCTTACCTACCCCAGCGTGCTGCTGTTTCAGCCCGCGGCCGCTGACGGTGACGGCGGCGGCATGTTTGAGGCGGACAACCCCATCGAGTTCAAGGAGGAACTCAAGGACCCCAACACGTGGTGAGAATTCCTAGCTGTAAAGCTCGCTTGGTCACATTCGGGACGTGCTGGTGCTCCATGTTGCCACGCCTACCCGATGCACAAAACAGGACAGAACCACCCTTTCCTATGCTCCATCTACAGGCTGCTGTGCGACTCCATTGAATTCGCGAACGTGAATGCCATAACAGTTATGGCCTCCTCGCCGTGCGTCGGCACCTACAATGTAAGGCTGTTGACGACGCTCAATTGACAACAAATGGTTCGTCTGTTGTCAAAGTTTGAGGCCCTCACTCGCTGGCGGAATCCGTGCCTTGCAGAGATTTGCTAAGACCAACCACCTGGAGCTGTGGATGGGTCCGTGGAGC